CACACTCAGGGCAGCAAACTGAACGTTTCTATCACCTCTCGTTCCTTTAAAAGATTTTTTAAATAGGTCAGTAATTTCAAGGACACCTCATAGTATATAGTGGTAAAAACAAGGTTGATTTAGGTTGCACTTGGACTTCAGTTGTCATAATTGCTGAGATTTTGCTCTCGTGCTTCTTCTCGCTTTTTTTTTTTTTTTAATAATATGGTGGAACCTATTTGAATATATTTTTGGGATCCATATTTACAGGAACTTGACATTTTTCCATACATATGCTTGCTTTCAATATGCGATTGATACATTTGACCCACTGGTACTATAAGTATATATAAATAGTACCAGCTGGAATTGGCTTGAAATTAAACCTTTTAATACTCTCTCTCTCTCTCTCTCTATATATATATATATATATTATATATATTCTACAAAGAATTTTGAAAGATTTAATTTCAAGCCGATTCTAGAAACTTCTTCAATATGATTTTTCTACAGTTCCGTATATGCCAATAGACTCTTGTTTGTTAGGTTTTTACTTTTATCCTGTAAACATCTGCTGACTCGTATACGCAAGATCAATTTAAACAACAGAACTAGTTTTTCTCTCTCTTTCCCAAAACATATTGCTGCTGGAGATGAAATCTGGTGTTTCTTTTGATGCGCAGACAAAACGGCAGTCATCCGCTTGGGGTAGAGAAGTTTCTTCACAGCTAAAAATATTTCGGTCTCTCAAAGCCCGAATAAAACTATCGCAGTTGTACTATTTTGGTTGGAAGTGAATAATTGAAAACGAATGTGTTCTCGATGGATGAATGATAAACACCAAAGTCTAAAAAAAGCATTGAGCAGTAGAAGAGATTTAAGATATATATATATATATTATTTGAATATTTGAATATTAATTTTACAATCTTTTTTCTTTTATCTTCAGTATTTCTATTTGTCTCCTGTGGCGTGTTTTTTATTACTAATACGAAAATGAAAATATACTTCATACATGTATTAATGTTGTGCAATATATTCGGATAATTTTTTTTTTTTTTTTTGAATGTGCTTGTGTTATATGTTTAGACACTGTAGCAAATTCAATATTAATCATGCTGGGTCATAAAGAAACTACACAAGTAATAAAAGAGAGAAAGAGTTCCTGAAAAACATTTTAAGGGACTTGGTCTTTATTTCTGGCCCCTACAGCAAAAAAGCATGGGAAACTTCGATTCAAGCAGACCAGTTCTTTTACTTAATCATCCTTTTTTAATCGAAGTTTGTGTAAGAAAAAAAAGTTGTACTTCTATAAAAGAGTAACAAGATTTTCTTTTGCCCGACTGGTGGCTCATTGACAACGTGCAACATGGTGAGCATTAGGGGCGGAGATTCAGTCCGCTGGCGGCTTTGTTGTAGACACTGCTTCAAAAAAAGAGAAGACTCAATGGCGTTTGGGATATTTAGCATCTTGCCTCTGAGTCGCACTAACTGGTGGGAGGTTTCCTGGGTTTTCTGTCCTACGATACGCAAATGCGGGATATTTCCTACTAAAAGTCCTCCTTGAAGGCACTGCCCGTCTTCTTCATCGATTCGGAGCCAAATCAGACCACTACCTGCGGGTGCTCCCTCACAACAGAAGCTGCCCCCCTCCTTTTTTCCTTCTTCCATGAGACCACACGGGTTCTTGGACTTGGTCTAGATGTTGCTGCCAACCAAGAGGGATAAGAAACGACAAATATTTATTACGCGAAAGACCTAAACAACATGGAAGACATTTCACAGACTCTTAACCAAACAATGAGATAATGTTGATAATTTTTTTAAGCTTTTTTAGAGATTAAAGTCATATGACCAAAATAATGAAATATTATTATAAAAGTGTACATAAAATATAATACGAATAAATATAATATTATATACTAATAATTTTTTAGAATTTTACTTAGAAAAGATATATAGATTGAAAAACAAATTTTTAAATGAATCAGCATATGATATTCAAAATAATCACTCACTTTAATTTGTGTTTAATACCAAAAAATGTATTTACATTTATTTCATACCGTGATATTATATAACCTAAAGAAAATTTCAATTCTACATTCTAGTTGGGGTTGTTGCTTTTTTTTCGAGTATACACATGGATTTTATTTTATTATTCCTTTGCTAAAAATATATGTTTCTTCATTCTTTTCAAATTTGATGTAAAATATAACTTTTTTATTTCTTTCCAGAAATCTATTGTTAATTCAAAACAATGGAAAACCTGAAACCCATAAAAAACATAAAGGGTAAGTAAAATATTTTCGAATTTAACTACGAGTTGCTTTATTTTATAAACATGGAATGATAAAATGTTTTCTTTTTCTATAACATCATGAATTTAACTTTAATAAAATTAATTTTTGATCAAGATCCAGTTTATAAAAATACTAATGTTTCAGTAAAACATCCATAGCAATATTTATTTGCATTTCAAATTAAATGATGTTGCGAAATTAAAAACAATCTTCAAAATATTATTTTCTTTTCAAAGTCATTTGTAGCACAATAGATTTAAGCAAAGTCTATAAAATGAAATCAAAAAGAAAAAAAGGAATATGTTTGTAATTAATACGAGAATTGAAACTTTTAAAATGACAAAGTTGTTGCAAGCAACGTATAATAGAATCACATAATATTGTTTTATTCATCTATTTATTTATTTATTTTTTTGTAAGAGACAAAAAGAATTCCTTTCATAAAAAAATTTGAATGGAAAACTAGTTTATGCATGAATGTATGAATGTTTGGCCAGCCAAGAACATTACAAACACGTTTGCCTTTTCCCATCTTGAACGTGAAGAAAAGTCATTTATTAGCAGCATACTACTACTGTGCCCAAAAAGTAAGACCAATTATTATTTTTTTAAAACTCCTTTATTTATTCTTCCAAATTTATTTCATCACCTTCAAAGTAATTCCCCCCGGACCCAAAACACTTATGCCAACTTTTTTCCCAATCCTCAATGCATGCTAAAAAGTCTTCGACAGGGATGGCCTTCAAAGCGCGCGGCGATTCACATTGAATCTCTTCAATCAACTCAAAACGTTATCCCCGGAGTGGTCTTTTGAGTTTAGGGAATAGCCAGAAGTCACAAGATATGAATACGAGGGTGTGGAACAATACGGGTTTCATTTTTAGCGAAAAGTCACGAAGAATCAATGCAGTGTGAGCTGGCGCATTATCGTGATGCAAGAACCAAGAGTCGTCTTTCCATAAATGTGGCCCTTTTTTGCGAATAGCTTCACGCAAACAACGCATAACACTCAAATAATATTCCTTGTTGACAGTTTGGCTCGGCGGAAGGAATTCATAATGCACCACACCACGGTAATCGAAAAAATTACAGTCAACATGACCTTGGATTTGTGAGTGACTTTGACGTGCTCTTTTGGTCTTGCTTCCCCTTTGTCACGATATTCACTCGATTGATCGGTTATTTCCGGATCGTAAACATAAATCCAAGTCTCATCTCCAATTATGATGTATTTCAACTTGTCCTGATAGTCAGAAAGCATCGTTTCACACACTTCAAAGCGACATTGTTTTTTAAAAAAATTCAGTGTTTTCGGTACCAACAAAGATATGTCGCGTTTGAGGCCCAAGTGGAATTGACCGATCCTTTTGAAATTCCAACATCAGCAGCAAGTTCTCTAATTGTAAATCGACGGTTTGCAAGCACCAAATCTTTAATTTTTTGGACGTGAGCCTCATAGGTTGAGGTTGATGGTCGCCCAGAGGGCTCTTCGTTTTCAAAGCGTTCTCTGCCTTCTTTGAACTCCGTATACCACTTCTAAACATTTCTTTCCTATATAGGAAGGCTCCGGAATGCCTTCTGCAACATTCTATACGTTTTCTCAAACAAAATGTAATGCAAGTTCTTTGCTCAATTCATTCAGACATTTTAAAAATCGCCGGGATCAGTTTTAGCGTCTCACAAAGCCAAGCGTAACTCAAACACTAATGACTATTTTGATGTCAAATTTCACACAGATGTCAAGGGCAGCGCCAACAACCTAAAAAAGAAAACAACTTGAAATTCCATCAGCCCGGGAATTTTAAATTGAAAATTGGTCTTACTTTTTTGGACACAGTCGTAGATACATACGTTACAAATACACTTTAAAAATGCAGGATTCTTATTCGAATTGTGAGGACATTGAAATGCAAAACACAGTAGAACTTTGATATTTTCTTGATTAAATAAATAAATAAAAATCCCTGTTTGTAATAAATCATTAAATTTTAAGTAAATTTTTAGATTTGGATTTACAATTTTTCTGTATGCATGATCGTCACAGCGGGGAAAATTTCGCTGTATGCATAAATGCAACCCCCCTATATATATATATATATATATAAATATTTAAATATTTAAAATTCGTGCCGAAGAGGATCCTTTTGGAGCAAAAAAATTCCATGTGTTCTCCAACAATTTACATAAAATATTAATTAACTCTCCTTATAGCAATTAACTTAAAGAATTGCGTTTAGTTTATTATTATTTTGTTTTCAGAGGAATATTATTATTTACAAATTATTGTTAGGGTATCAATAAAATTTATTGAAAATTCCTACATAACAATAGTCCATAACAATATTTATTTTTTTAATTAAATAAGCATTGTTAATTTTAAAAGCAAAATTATGGTGAAGAAGAATCTTTGAAAGGATTATTCTCTTAGTTCGTACTTTAAATGTATTATATGTATTTATTGATATTGCAAATATTTAAAAATATTTTTTGCAGGTACTTCTGAAATATTATATTTTAATATATTATTTATTTTATCTGTAACTATGCAAATACACACACACACACATCATATATATATATATATATATATATTATATATATTGTGCAGATGTTTATTTAGTATTTGATTTAGATTTATTTCAATTAATTAGTTGCTTTTTATATACATTATTGTTTATTATTATATATGTTGCTTATTTTGTTTAAAATTACATTTCCAACGGCCATACCATGCTGAATATACCGTGTTCTCGTTAGATCACTGAAGTTCAAGCGGTCAGTACTTGGGTGGGTGACCACCTGGGAACACCGCGTGCCGTTGGCATTCACAAATTTGGGATCTGAATGGCAGAGTGTCTAGCGCTGTGGCGCTCGGTGCCATAGGTTTCGGGTTCGAGTCCCGGCGGTGCCATGAATGTTTGTAGTGGTTCGGAATCCACTTTAAGCTGTAGGTCCCGGTCTCCTATCACTGTAAGAGCGTCACGGAGCCAAAGTCAGACTTCTACCTACGGGTGTTCCATCACAACAGAAGCTGCTTCCTTCCCCTTCAATAATGAGTATGTATGGGCTCGTGGGCTTGGCCAGCCAAGTGGGATAAGAAACAACAAACAAAATTACATTTTATTTATTTTAACTGCTATATACGGTTAAATTTTAAATAATAGAAAGGGTATTTTTTATGGGTATCCAATGGTATTCCGCCAAGTGATACAGGTAGTAAACGATTAATAAATGAGAAATTCTACTAGAAGACGAACTTTTTATATTTACGAATTTTACTGCTTTATCTATAAAACGATACGATAAGCCCTTTGGCATTAGGGTCGCCACTACTTTTGTTTTCGTACTTGTTAATTACTTTTCTGGCGAGCCAGATCATTAAATTTCTCCCCTACAGATTACCTTTAGGTCTGATGAGCAAAATCGTCCCACCGTGCCATCAATTTACCCATCTAATGGGGGAGAGTTTCGTAAGAAATCCTGCCAATCGATTTCAGTCTAGAGTTGACTTGACCAGATCAAATGCCAGACAGAATAACAATTTACCTAAAGGCACATGTGGGTTAACGCCCTATTGAGGGGTTGCTATATGCAACTGCATCGTCTGAATGTTTCATTCAGTTATTGTAAAATCCATTCATTCATCCATCCGTAGTAAATCCATACATCCCATCTATAGAGTATATCCATAGTAGCGCGTTCCATTATTCTAAAAGAATAAAAAGTTGGGACAAACATCTCCAGTCCTTTTTGTACTACAGTTGGCGCTGCATCTCCCCTTGGCTCACTTTTCCTGAGAGCATTTATTCAGAATACGTAAACATGCTACGAAGTGAATCCGAAAATTCTTGAGATTCTTCTTCTCAAGTCATGTATTTACTTAAGTATTAGAGATAAATAGATACAATATTAAAAATAAATAAATACAATATAGATACAATAAATATATACAATTATTTTGTTTATAACTCTGATCATTTTGTATGAAATATAATAAAACGTGACAAAATGTTCATATAAATGTTCATATTTTATTTTTAACTCATTTTGGGGGGGGGATATTACACAAAATTTATCAATAGAATAAAAATGCCAAATATTTAGTAAATTTAATTTATATTTATTTAAAGCTAAAAAAATTAGCCCTTTCTTTTGAAAATCGTGGTATAATAATTCATCTTTTTCTCCATTTCTCGCCAACTGCATAGAACAATAATGGCCAACAGTAAAGATTATTACCAAAAATCGCCAAGTTATCATCGCATATGTTAAACTACAAAATAAAAGTCACATGAGAAGAATGCTTGCACATAAGTGGCAGCCCCATGGACTCTCTATCATATTACTACTCTATGAACGCATCTAACGATAATCGTCCAATCGGTAATTCCTTTTCGATACACTTTTTTTATTCAATTCCTTCTATCAGCTCACACTCTCCCTATATATATCTTGTTCAAAATTTCAATCGTTCATAAAATACTTTTTATTCATCCACTCAAGTTGAAATACATTTTTTTTGAACGTGTAGTGGATGACACTTGATGTTAATACAGTTTTTTCAAATATTAATTCAGTAATTAATTATAGTTTTTTTTTTTTAGATTTAAGTTGCATGTATCTGCCAATAGATGGCGCCAGATAAACTTAAAAAAATGAATGAAAATTATTTATAAAGGACTTCCTGCAATATAGTAAGAAAAAAAAAGGAATTGAAAGAATTGAAAGTAATATAAATTTTTTTTTTATTACTTGTTTTATCTTTGAGTATAAAAATTATTTATTGAAATTAGTAACATCAGACCATGTCTACTGCAACTTGCTAAAAGGCCTTCTTATGAATGATTCTATATGAATAAAATGCTTGTTCAGAGGTTTTATGTATGCTGTTTAAATCTGCCACTGAGGGGCAATTTGACTTTTGAAATTAAATATAAAGCAATATTTTAATTTTTATCTTCAGAAACAAATTATTATTATTATTTTGGAATTCAGTCGAAGGCACACGGGGCAAAAAGTCTTGGTTGCAGTTACTCAATAATTTTCTATTTAAACATTGTATAAACAATGATGGCAAAATAAAAGGGACTGAATGGCCGAATGGCTAGCGCTCTGGCACTCGGTACCACAGTCCGAGCAAACATCCATGGCACCGCCGGGACTCGAACCCGGAGGTGCCATGAATGTTTATAGTGGTTCGGAATCCACTTTAAACCATAGGCCCCGGTCTAACATGATCGTAGAGAGTTGCGAAGGTATTGTTACTCCGCGTCCGTAGCTTATCTTCAAGCTACACGCACCTCCTGGGTTGTGCTAAGTGAGTAACGTCGGTGCAGCGCTTGCCTTAAGGCATCAAGGACAACTGTCTAAGTATTTGCCAGCTGCATTAGAACAAAAAAAAAATGATGGTATAAAAAATGGATAGTAAATGATCGACGATAATGAAAAAGTCAGAAATAAATATTTATTATCAAAAAAGACTCGTATCAAAAAAGGAAAGAGATGAAGGGAAGTCACGTGTTCACAGAGTGAGGCAGTACGAAGAGAGGTTCTTGGTGGCGACGGCCGTCTCGTAGGAGGGCGGCTCCTCCACCTGGACGCGCTTCAGGCACACGGCGCTCTCGTAGGAGGGCGGGGCGGCACCCCCCCTCTCCAGAGGGTGGCTCCTCGGGATGGAAGAGATCACGTACACCTGGAAAGAATTCTGGTGTTATTCAGAAGAGATTTCTGGTGGTATTGCAAGTGGAACAGAAAAACATATCATAATTTGTACAATAATCTTTCTTCAATCATGCTCGCGGCCTTATGGCCAGGTGGCTAGTGCTCTAGGCTTTCGTACCACAGGCATCAGGTTTGAATGCTGGCGGTGGCATGGATGTTTCTTGAGTGGTTCGGAATCCACGTTAAACTGTAGGTCTACCAAATTAGGTCTAATTATCCTCAGGTGTGCACAAAATGGCCGGAGAGCGGCAAACCAATCAATCATGTTCATAATCACGGCCATGCCGGAACACTTATACATTTTAGTTTATATCGATCAATATATTATATTTAATTTCGGGCTGGCAATACAGAGAGATAAAATCATTTAGCCTACCCAGATAAAAATTTAAACTATTACAACATGTGCATAAAATGGATTCGAACCCGCTTCTGGTACTACTCACGATCCTGACCGGGACCTACAAATCAATATCCGACAAAGTACCTCATACTTCTACCAACTACAAAATCAAAACTCATACATTGAATATTCTTGTATGGATAGAAGAACACAGAGCGAAATAAAAATTAATATACGTTGTTGTTCTAATGCAGCTGGCAATACAGAGAATAGTTAATCTTTATGCCATAAGCAAGGGCTGCACCACTGATACTCATTTAGCACTACCCAGGGGGCACGCACTGCTTGAAGATATGCTACGGACGCGAGTAACACTACTCCCCGCAACGCTCTACGTTCTTATTAGACCGCGCCATACGGTTTTAAGTGGTTTAGCACCGCCAGAACTCGAACCCGAAACCTGTGATACCGAGCGTCAGAACGCTAGCCATGAGGCCCTAAAAAGAGAGTTTTCTTCAAGCTTCACGATTAGCATCAGATTAAAAATTTATATATAATGATGACAAATTTCTCTATAAATGCAGCTGTAACTGCTTTAAATAATTATCTGACATCGTGTTCCTGTAGTGATTCAAATCTCTTCAAGCAACCGTCTCGAAGTACATACAAATTTATAACTTCTGCACATGCGTGAGTTTTACTCTGTACTGAAATGAGAAAAGGGTAGTTACAATAAACACTAGGCGAAAATGTGAGGCGCACAGTGTCGCCACCTGGCGGTCAAGGTCAGCAAACACCCGAATCCACACCTAGCATCGAAAATCCTTTATCGATGCCGGATTGTAGAACGTGTCGCAAAAATCGAATGTTGGATTAAAGGGCGCTTATAGTACCATGAGACTAGAAAGTTCAATACCATTAAACGCAAATTTCCGAATTACTACACACATCACAAAAGTATTCAAAAAAATAAATCAGAAGAGATAAAAATGAAATGTCTCTACTAATTTACACTAAATCAGCAAAAGTCAATGAATTCTGCGTGTGATCTATCTCCAGATATTCAAGCGATATACTAATTCATTCATACCAAAGTATGATTCATGCCCTAGTTTGATTCATGACACTCGATTTCATTTCATTCATGCAATAATTCATATAGTTCAATCACCGATTGTGCGGAAATGTAAACATCCGGCTTAAAAGCAAAAATGGACGGACGAATCAATGATTTATCAGGGATTTGACAGCCGTTCCATAATGAGGTGGGACCAAACTTAGGTGCAATTGAATGCTTATTGTCACTCTGAAATATACAACTTGTCAATGATATGTTATTCTGTAATAAAAATTTAGATTTGTCCTATTCATTAAAGGAGAAGGAATACAGTGTATTTTCTAATACAAGCCGTTCCGTATATAAGATGTTAACTAAATAAGATGTTAATTAAAAACTTCATATGTTGAAATGAATTTAGGACGAAATTTAATAAAAATAACAGTAAAAATTAAAACACCAAAATTAACAGTAAAAATTAAAACATCAAAATTAACAGTAAAAATTAAAACAATTCCATTGTAGGGATTCGAATTTTTTTCATGAAATGCATTCATCACAAAGAAAAAGAAAACATGCTGTAAGTTAAGTGATATTTTCAAATGAAATTTCAAATAAAATTATACAGCTTCTCGAAACTTTGTTCACGTTGAATTTTGTAAAATTAATTGCTACAAGGCCATGGAAATTTTTATAAAT